GCAGGACAGGGAACACCGAGCTCAATCCTTCATGATACCTGATCCAACCTCCATGTGTTAGAGGTCCGTGTTTACTCTGCTCCTGATTTATATTGATTGAGTAGACTTTTTTAAGATGAAATATTGCTAGTTATCTCTATACATTATGTGTATATTGCCTGTTCCCTGTATGTACAGTGTATTTACAGCTTGTTAACTGTATTTATATATATTTTGCCTTTTCGTCGTATATATATATATATAATTATTATATATATTGGCTTTTAGCTATGTGCATATATTGCCATCATTGCAATACATTCTTATTTTTTGATTACTTTTTATATGCTTGTTTGCTGTATGTATATATTGGCTTTTTTGCTGATGACTTTAATTTTACTATCTTCAGCTTCCCTTATTATACCTTCCCTTATGTGTAGCAGTATACCGTATCTCCTGCATATTGGGTTTATACCTCTAACTTGATTCGATACGGAAGAGCATGCACTACCTATGACTGATTCTTAAAACAAGCCAAGCTATTGTCAAACAAATTGATGATGATCAACCTTCTTGCCTAAAGTCATCATTTTGCAAGTTCTATGGTCGATACAGTGGCCTTGTTATTAAGTACAGTCTATCATTAAGGTGATTGCTGACCAATTTTTCTCATATCAATCGTTAAACCTTTTCATGTATTTACACACTAAATTGTAAACTTTTTTTCGTTTGCCATATCAAGACAAGAAGCACATGGAGGATGTGACCGATCGACAGGGGTAGTTTACTCTTCTATGACACTTGATCCCACCTCTGATGTTTTAGACGCCTGCGTTTAGTCTGTTTTTGAATTAATTGAATGCACTTTTGGGCTTGAATACTGTTTATATCTTCAAAATTTTTCATGTACATAATGCCTATTTACTGTATGCATACATTGCGTGTTTGCTAAAATTATATATATTGAGATATATTAAGATACATGTATTTTTTTCCCATGAAGATTTTTCCTGTTTATACCATTTCGAAATTTTTGATGAAATTAATGTAAACCATAAAGAAAATGACTACTCTTCACAGAATTGAAGTTAGACTTATTCATTTACACAGTAGTGTACCAAATCTACTTGATAGTGAATTCTGTTGCAGGAATGAACTAGCAATTCAAACCTCATTTAAATCGTCACTGCAGTCATCTAAATGTCAGAGTTTAAATATTTTGCATACGAAACATTTACATATAGTTTAAATTTCTATGAAAGGCTGTCATTAAAAGGAAATTACCAATCCAGTATTCAATATTGTTAACGTCTTTGAAAAAAAAATATTTTGGTTCGTCATTACGAAAAAAGTTTACAATACTCAGATCAATTTTTTCAATTACATTATTGATTTTTCCTTCCAAGGTAATTGATTTTGAAAAAAAGAATTTGATATTGATTACATAATAATTAGACACAGGAAAACAGTCGTATCGCTGTAATTATAAAACAATGTGAATCAGATAGCTTTCTACTGGAGTCGTAGACATTATTATCAGTGGCCTTGGTTTGATGATGCTGAGAAACGATATCGCTTTGTAATTAAGGTGGCAAACTGAAATACTTTATTTTGCTTTGTGAATTCCCATGCTTCAGATAAAGGGTTATATTAGGTACTCACCTCTTACTCGGTCTCCTTTGATCTGCCTTGAAAACAGTATTTACGTCACGTTCTAAAGTGAACCTTAAAGGCTCGATCTTGCCCATCATTGAAATGAAGAATTTTAACTGTATTTTGAATTTATGCTATTGTTTTACAGCTCTTTGAAACATTCTGCACAAATCTTTGGTTGAAACAGACTTCTGAAGGAGTTACAACATTGCATAATAATTATCTTGATCGTTAACCATACAAAAAAAGAAATCCACACCCTGTCAAAACCAAATAGATCAATGTAATATTTATAGCATCTTCCTCAATTGTCATGTCAACTGTTATATGTTGCCCAATTTACAACGTTTAGTATTATACATTTCTTTACAATTGTAATGTACGCGGAATACACAAAAATAGATCTTTTCCTATTATACCCTTTCTGTGATAATCCATATTTTTAAATGCATACACTTGCTTGTTTATCACAGTTTGCATCTTAACGCCAACGTTGATATTCACCAGAGTTTGATATCAAAATCTGGAGTATTTCATTCAAGTTAATAAGATCAAACAGCAATATCAGTTTATATATGTGTATTTTTATCTCAATTTAATAGACTCATAGTGATACTGGATGCTGCGATTGTTATTGAGTCCTACATCCCACACATACTGAGGTTTTTCGAATCAATCCTCTGTTTTGAATTTTTGCTTCATGTATTTTTACTTACCACTAAAAATAACTTCGTATGGTTACAATGTAAAAACTGGTTTTTTAATAAAATCACACTGCACACTAAAGCGTTCTGATTCTTAGGTATTTTTCATTTTTTCTGCAGTTAGAGTGATCTGCCCTTAGATCTAAATTCTAAAAAATTGAAATTTACAATATATTACTCAATTTGTAATTTTTTAGCTTCTTACATTTTAAAAGGCTTTTAACTGAACATGTTATTTGCATGTCTTTTCTCTATTGAAAATAACTGATTTCTATTCAGTGATTGTGTTGTCTTTGAACATTTTTCCCGGGGTATTACAGTGAAAATAAAAACTTATTTTTAAAAATAAGATTTGTTATAATTAATAACATGTAGGTGTTCAGGGAATGTATAAATACATGAGAAAACAAATATTTTAAACATTTTAAAATATGGAGATAACGAACAGTACTCAAGCTCAAAAGTCAATTTAACAATACAATATTTGGAGCAGAGCAAACACGGACCACTTAAACATCAGAGGTGGGATCAAATGGCTAGGAGTGAGCATCCTCTGCCGAGAGGTCACACACACCGTATGCTCCTTGTCATGTTATACAGCTCGATCACTTTTTAAGCTCACATGGGTTTTCGCACAAATTAAAGTCATGTTCATCTAATAAGAATAATTATTATTTTCAATCAAAGTTCGACAGAGTAAACCTGAGATGTATTTGTTTGCGAAAAACCATGTGAGCTTAAAAATCGCGCGGAGCTGTATATACAAATATTCATGTTTCTCTAAAACTTCGTACGGTTCAAAACAATATGTTGAGTTATATTGCTGTATAATAATTCAAAACTATGGGGGGAAAACTATGAACACACGTGATATTTGTTAAAGGTATAGGATAGAATTATTGCATCCCTCAAATTTTGAGTCTAATTTTACATCAAAATCACACTTTGTTTACAATCCCACTTATTTGATATTTCGTCATAGAAGCCAATTTAATACAATACCAATATGTGAAGAAGCACAATAATATATAAAAACTGAAAACAAATAAAAGAATATAATTTTTATTGTTAGAGAACTGATTTCAAACATCATCTTCAATGGCACGTAAAATCTCATAATATTAAAATCAGCAAAATTTCCAAGAAACTGGCGAGACAATTGCTGAAAATTTCTACTGAATTTATTTAAGTTTTTGAATAATTTTCGGATATTTTTTCTGTTGGACCAAAGAGGTACCTTGTGTGCATTTATAGAAAGGAGCCAATATTTTTCTAAAAAGACTGTAATGGATCACACGGCAAATAATCTCAACTTCTTTGTTCAATAGATACAAATGATCAAACAGCGTCAATTAGGCATCATCAAAACTCTTTTAACTTCTTTGATGTTTGAATAAGAATCACGTAAATCAAGAATGGGCTTTATTTGAAAATATTTTTTTCAAAAATTGCAGTTAATACAAAATATAAAAAGACTTGTGAGCTGCATTTCACTTAAATGGATTTTCAAAATAGCATCCATTATTCTTGTGAGGGATCTTAAAGTAACTGTGAGAGCTAATGAGATTTAAATGAGTTCTGTACATTAAATGTCTAGTGACATTCACTTTTTTAATAAAATTTTAAAATATCAGGTTGCAATTCTCGCTAGATGACCTCTTGAAATGATAAAACTTTCAGCAATTCATTCACATTCTTTTCTTTAAGGAATATAAGCTCAATCAAATATTAAGCTCAATCAAATACTTCTTATCAAAGACATGAATTTTGCAGAATGGATAGTTCTTCATGATATATTTCATCAAAAGTCGGATAGCAAAAAATGTAATTTTTGATAAATGCTTATTGCATTTTTAAAATAGATTAAAATCCAATGTGAAAAAAATGTAACCAACATTTCTGAAACAGAAAGTTTCCATGAAAGATGTTACATTTTCAAGTATCTAATTCTCACTGCACCCGTCACAAAGACAATGAACAGTATTTCCCTTTGTTTAAAAATAGAGATCGACCAACTACATGTACAAAGGGATATCAATACATGCGCTTTGCAAAAATCTTACTTAAAAGTGTATTTATAAAAACAAATACCTAAGAATGTTATTACTTTTCGTTTATTGTGCTCACACCATAAAAAGTTGTCAATCAATACATTCACGAATTTACAGAATCCGACATCTTCGCTAGCCAAGGGTTTCTGATATGCTACTCTCCACATAAACCCTTGGCCTACGGTGAAGTCAAAAGTGCTATGATCTCGAATATAAAGAAATAAAGACACGTGTTAAAATAAATTAAATCAAAGTTTTTTCAAGAATAATTCAGAAGCAATAATTGAGTTATGTTTATTCATTATTTATAGAACAAATCGTCCAATATATTCTTAATCACAAATTTAGAAGATATTGCACCATGGCTACATAGAATTGAATGTTATCTTGCATAATTTCAAATTTACAAAAAACAATTGCTGATTGTCGAATGTACTGAAATCCAATCAGAACTCTGGAAAAAAATCCCAATTTCTATGAACACCGTAGGCCAAGGGTTTATGAGGAGAGTAGCGTATCAGAAACCCTTGGCTAGCGAAGATGAGAATCCGAACATCATTGTGGGCAGAGACAAAGTTCAGTAATTCGTTGTTGAAACAAAAGTACACACGTGCTAGTTAATCAAAAATTGTTTCGAATGAAACAATTTAGTTTACTTTATTTTTTTATTCAAACAAAAGTTAAGATCATAACAAACAGTTCCGTGCTCAATGATTCTTCACTGTCAGTTATTTGCCATACTCAACATCAAAGTCAACATATTACAAAGTACATCGATGATTAATGGAATTCAGACAAACTGGTGTTTTATATAAGTACAGTTGATACTCTGTACCGACTAATCTCTAAAAATGCATGAAAAAAGTTGTCTTATTCGTGTGCCATTACAAGCTGCTTTTTGCTAATCAATATGATGGCATTTCAATATTTCTACAATGCTTCTCCACGAACAAAAAAGTGACTCTTCCGAAGGCTTTGCTGTCCGGTTTCATTCTGATTCAAAATGTAAAAAATATATCCATTGTAGGATCCCATCGGGTTGGGAAAGCAATATCCTTCTGTTTCTAACACTACCTCAGAGCGAGTCTGAAAGATTGCCCAAAAAACCGCTTCATCCACATACATGTTACTAAAACAATTGGAATGCATTGCAATGCACTGGAATGCTCAAATTTGTGCTAGTCCCCTGTCAGTTTGTCATCCGGGTCCCGCGGTGAGATTGGTTATGACGTCAGTAAGGTTAACCTCGGCTGAGGGCGGGGTGCTCGAAAGCACGTGCTTCTGCAGGAGATTGTTGTTTCCTCTCACTAAAATAATAATAATATCTTATAATTCCTCTGTGATGCTATCAATAAATGCAATCTCTTAATCTGAAACTTACGTCATCGATGACGTTTTACAATACTTTTTAGTAAGACACAATCTCCTGTAATGGCGAAATCCCGGATAACAGAAATTTAATCTCCTGTTACCAAGAACTTGCAGTTAAAAATGATGAAAGCTAGGATGATTAACTTCCTACGAGGTTTTGATATTTTTACCTATACTTTTATATCATATGTGGGTTGCTGCATTGAAGTTTCTTTCAACAATGTAGCATTGTCAAATGAACTTTAATGCAGATTAACCGTCATACATCATTAGTGATTGTTATGGAATTCAATTTTTTTTTTTTAAATGAGTTTTATTTAAAGATTATGATAGTTTTCTACGAGTTAATAAAATATTGTCAAGATACAAAGTGCAAAAACCTACCGAGATCGTCAATCTTGTCCGACATAATGAGAGAGACCATCACAAGAAGGGCACTGACCGTAAACATCGTCATGGAAACGATCATCACAGCACGAGCTACAAACTTCTGTCGTTTGGTCCGAGAGTCCACGTGAATTTGCAAATTGGCTCGTTGTGGATTTTCCCTCACCAAAAATTCACTTAATAAACTTCTAGCAACTGAAGGGTCAATATAAAACACGTTTTTATCGTGATAGTAGTTTGAATCTGTAATGATTTCTATGTCGTCATCAGAAATGCTGATTCCAGTCCAGTGACCTTGTGCTTGCCAATGACCTTGGTTTCTATGACTTGTTCCTTCGTACTGAATATATTGTCTAGATTTTACACAATTTTCACACATACACTCTCCATCATCAGCAATCATTTGTTGGTTTTCATACATTGTTTGAAGAGACTCCTCTCGGCAATTATCACAACTGCACTGAATTTCCCCATTATTAACCAATTGGTTTTCAACAAGTCCCGCTTCCTGGCGGTTATCATTTGGAATGAGTGGTTGATAAGTCAAAAAACTATCGTCTGATAATTCGGACATTTCCGTGTGTTGTCTTTCAAATTTTCCACGCTCCATGTCCTTATCAGAAAAAGTCACGCCACTGGCCGTGTCGTCATCAGACAATAATTCACTTGTTTGGCTCATTTTGAAACACCGAATACTGCAGTCACCAGATTTTGTATTGAATTCTAAAACTCAGATGTTCTCAGCTCGAAGCTACAATAAAAATCAATTGAAATTTGTTAAGTTAGCCGTAAATGAGCCTTAAACCATTTCTATTTCATTAAAACTGAAGTGTGAGGGAAAATCAAACTAATGTATGGTGCATTTATGCTACGTCTGTTGCTAAAACATGTTGTTTCCTTAATTAGTCGCAACATTCATAATTATGGCAGGTTGCCCATGCGTAAAACTTCAATCGGTTTATATTGCCTGCATCCCTGCACATCAACTGAGGATGTCCTTTTGGCTCTTTAGCAGGCACTGCAGGTTCGTTATATTTAACCATGAATGATCTCTCTAAATAGATAAGACATTGTTCCACCTGCAAGGCGATGCCTGTTTTTATGTACGAACTCAGGCATATACCATTAGATTCGATACGTTGAGCTCAGCGCAAATTTGTCGCAAGCCTCTGAAAATTCATTATTTTCTCTTTGAAATATCTCAAGCAGTACGGATTCAGTGCTAAAATTAATCTAGAGAAAAGTAAAACATCAAGAGAAACTTGTTCTTGGTTCCGCAGACAAGATCGATCCCATGATTCCCTTGGGTAATCTGAAGACAATAATTCTGGAAACATTGTAGTCAAAGTCACCATATCATTAACCATTAGGAGATCTAATCTACAGTGAATATAACGCTATACCCAATATTGTCTCCAATTTTAACATGGATGAGAAGACATCCAAAGAAAGAGTTCAATGTATTTTCAGTTAGGTGACAGGTATCTCTTTTGATGACTATGTGAAATTTTACTTTATTTCTAAAATCAGCTTTGATCGATTTTTTTTTTTAATTTCAACTTGAGTTGTTTCTATTTCAGTCTCACTGTTACAGATTAAGAGAATACCACCCAATGATAGCGGCGTTAAAGGTCAGTAATTGTAGGTATCTGCACGTGTTGAAGGATTTAAAAATAGTTGCGCGGAAACAAGGAAGATCTTTCTTAATCAATTTAAGCAACCAAGTATTATGACATCTGCTTCTTAAAAGATGTGAGAGACTCAGAGAGAGTATGCAGTTCCCTCTCCAAGAGCAAAACTAAACATGCCATTAAGGAACAACACTACGTACAAACAGTCTTCTTTTTTCAGGCATCAATAAAACAATTGATTCGCTTAAAATAAAATGGGGAAATGGCAAAAGCAAATTCAAAACAAATTCTTTGCCAAAACGGGTTTTGACTATATCTTAAACTACCCTGGCCTCTTCAACTTCCTCTTTTTCAGGTCTATGGTAACTACCATTCATGAAAATTACTTTTTTATTCATACCTGTGCAACTTGTGGAGTTTCACATTACTTGAAAAGATATTTATTTTACCCTACACATGAAATAAGACCAAACAGAGACTGGGATTTAAAGTGAGAGGATTAGCAAATTTATTGATTATATTAGTTGTTTTTAATGACGATTATTGAATAACCCCATCCTATTTTTTACAAAGTCATTGGCTCTTAATTTCACACATATGTATATTCAAAAATAACTTTTGCGTTCTATTTTTCTTTCATACTTTCTTTTACTTCATGTATTTAAATAAGAATTTTTATAAAAACGCTTATTCCAATAATATTTAAAACACAGCACAAACAGGCATTTGGTAACATTTGTTAGAAAGGTTTGTTGACATAATTTTGAGTTTTTATGAAAACTGAAATAGCAACAATACGTTTACTAATAAATTCTTTCTTTTCAATTAATTATTCCAGACTCAATGGTGTATCTTCTTTAAGTATTGTTTATTCCAAACTGAGGTATTGCATGGCTTCTGAATAGTTTCACCGAATGTTGTTTTTTCAATAACAGCAAAGAAAATTTTATCGCTCTCATTATCTTACGTTTTCATTATTTTTGGAATTAACCGATTTCCTGCCACAAGAAATAAACAATGGCTGTTTTATGTCTCCTTGTCTTTGACTGATCTGATTCGTGAGCGATAAAATAACCCGCTCCTGCACCGAAGTGAAAAAGAAGAAATCCCAAGGAGGTTAATTAATCATTGGATTTCCATGATTCCACCTTAAAAGCATAATAAATAGTACATTATACTACTAAAAGAAGGTCATAAGAACGAAATTAACATGTCTACCAAAAGATTATTTACCTCTACAGAAAGATTTTGATAGATTTCAGATGGTTCCTTTTTATGGTCAACGAACAAAATGAGTCGGTGAACTCTTTCGTCTCTTCCCTGATTGGTAACAATAATTTTGGCCAAAGAATAAATCAAAATAAATATCTTGTATCAACTGTTGAAAATGTTATAATTAAACGAATATGCCGTGAAATCAATAAAACAAACAAAATAAAACACCACAATGTACATTTCACAATTAGATATGGCGATGTATATTCCACACAACAAGGGATATCACGGCACCACGAACAAAGCCCTACTGCCGACAAAATAAAATTTTCTCCTCTAAATGGAATAATGACCGTCATAAGGATCATTATCTCGTGGCTACAACTGAATTTAATATTACTTCCCATTACACAAAAGAGGCGAAAATGGTCTTTACAAAGATAAATATCACCAATCAAAGGATCGCAGTCGTTCATAATGCACGAGAATTAAAGGTACATGTATATATGTAGATGGAAAGGTACTTCAATTGAAATATCCACAGATGAACGAAAAACTTTGGGTGGTATTGTATTTCCCAATTTTCAGACTATAGTGTGTTGCAAAGAGAAGAAAAAAATATATGTAAGGGCTGTGTTTGGCATCGGAGAACCGCTAAAAGAAGGAGTTTTAAAGGAAACCAAACTCAATGCAGTACCTTAAAATATATTCTGATAATGTAATAAAAGGAAAATATCTGAAAATATTATAAGAAAAGTAAGCATAAAGTTGAAAAGAGGGTATGAAATTATTACATTTTTCAGTAGCCTAATTGGAAGGAGGGATAGATTGTGATGAAATTTCTATTACTTTAAATACACTGAATCAGAAACTCAGATATCAACCATTTTTTGTATTTTGGACATAATTCCTTTTCATCCAAGCATGAAAAGCTTCTTCTGTTTATCGATAATGTATTTTGTTTAATTCATTGTCTTGTCAATTTTCTTGGTACTTGCTGCATATTTAATGGTATAACTCCCGTTACATTAAAGTCCCTTACGATTTTCAACGCATCCAAAATTTAAGAACAATGTACATGTGTCTTCAGTTCCTCAGTCGCCATTTAATTCCAAGTGTTAAGTAATGAAAAATTCTATATTATATTAATACATGTAGTATCAGACTTAATATCGACTAAGGTGACATATATGAAATTTTTATGAAATTTCAATGACAATATGTTCAAATGTTCTTTGCAATCCCAAAATATTAAATTTGAAAGAGATATCAGTTTTAAGGGGTTCATATTTCACTACAAGAAAAATAATTATACGTTTCATACATATCCTTTTGAATTGGTGTATTTTTTCAACTATTTCTCAAAACAATATGACCAAATGATCGCGATAGTAATTATTAAAAAACAAAATATTAAAGGAAAAAAATGTTTTCTAACAATAAAATGAAATAAAAATTAAAAAGCAGAGTACGAAACAAACGTATAAAACATTTTTAAATAGATTAAATATATTGAAAGACAGAAAATGAATTGAGATATTTAATATATACAGGATACTATATATCATAACATCTTTAAGAAAAGTAAAAGTTTTCTTTTTCTTTGAATTCTCAAGAGAACATATGTTCTTACCTCTGATCGAGCTTTCGGTGTTTCATATTGGGAAAACATATATATCCCTCTCTTCCTTTCTGATCTACACCCAATACAAGCGAGTTATGTATACACCGTATATTGATTAGATTTACAGGCTGATTCCGTATAGTCATTGAAAGTCACGTGATTTTCCCAAACATTCAGGGATTATTTTACTGTAAAGAACGCATCTCTTTTTGTTTTGTAAATTATTGATTTTAAGGAACGGAGGAAAAAATAATCAATTTATCGAATGAATTAAATTTAAGCTTAGGCACTGAAGGGAAAGTGAAATGATTGCTTTTTCACAAACAGCTGTTTATTCGGCTTTGAGTGGAGTGGAGGAGTGTGTATCTTAAATGTTTACATACTGTCAATCTGCAGAGAGGCGATAAGAATTATGTTTCTTTTATAATAAAAATAGAACTTATACACGAAAAGTTTAAGATAAAAAGGTTAACAATCTAATATTTTAAGGAACTTTAGCATGTTAAGAGCACTTTGTCCGTGTTGTCAGAGAGTAGATATATATGCTAACAAAGGATGTAGTGATCGTCAAATTACATGTGTTATTGTTCTTAAGATTTCTCAATTTATCTTTGGTATTTACTATATATTCATCTTTTAATAGTAACTATTGTCACACCAATATCTTTTTTTTTTTGCCAGTAACAATTTTCATGCGACATTTTAAAAACAATCTGGCAATCAATACTCGGGTACTAAATTCTAAAATGCTTAGTTCGGGATCTGCCTTTTTGAAACTGGTGAATATAAAAAGGCATTCCGTCTACTTTAATCATATTTTCCTACGTCATATTTCAAAATATTTCTAAAATAATCTTACACTACCGATTGCGCACCATTTGTGCGCTGATACAAGATTGGTGGTTTCCAATTGATGGTGGTCAGCAAGGTTGCAACAGGGTTAATAACCTATGATAAGGCAAATAAGATGAAACATATGGAGAGAAGGAACAGTATTCAAGATCAAAAGTCCATAAAACAATATAAAATAGATGCAGAGCAAACACGGACCTCCAAAACATCAGAGGTGGGATCAGCTGCCATGGAGGAGTGAGCATTCCCTGCCGACCGGTCATACCCGCCGTGTGCTCATTGTCATGATCGGGAAATAACTGAGAAAATCCGCCGTCAATAAAGATAAAAAATCTAACATGTACATGTAGGTCTAAGCACTGGTAAATCACACTTTCATCTGTCAAAATTTTACTAACCATCTCAAATTAAGTAGCCGTTGTGAGGATTAAAAGTCTTGTTCACCAATAGAACACATTTTTACGTCCTTCAATCTAACCCAAAATACTTTTGAACCACCAAATTCAACAGTAATTGATTTAAGAAAAAATTACCGAACATCTCCAAAGGAACAACTTGCAGAAATCAAACACACTACCCTGTCATGCTCTTTAATGGTCAAACGTTGTATACATGTTTATATCTGAAGTTTTGATTAATGCAAACATGAAGAAGACAAATTCTATTATTAATTCTTGTGTAAACTTAATTGCTTTTTAAGAAATAAGAATTGAGTTACGTCTAATAGCCTGCGGTAAAACCAGTTTGAAAATTCAAGTTCGAACCAGTCTATTCAGTCAAAATGCAATCAATACAGCCTTTTTTCATGTTGAAGCAATAAACAATTCTGATTGCTGCTTTTTTGTTGCATGCTTTTAAAACATTTGCTATTTTGTTGGTGATCATTTCTGGAGAAGCTGATTTGTTATGTTGATAATATCCTAAATTATGATGACAAAATGACAAACAAAACACTAGAAAATGCAATAAAATTTAGTCACACAATATTCCCGAAGTGATTTAAGATCGTGTTTACGAAAAACCTGTCAATTTTATGAAATGGACAATGGTGATTGCATCTTAATATAATGCATATACAGATAGTTTTAAAATACTTCTTGAAAGTCAAAGACGTCTTCAAGCGGTCCTTACAATTATTGGTAAAAAAAAGAAACCGTTTATAAATTTTAAATCTTGTAAAGTGTAAATCTTGTAAAGTGACAAACCAAGCGTTATAAGCTCAGGTAATACACATATATAAAAAATAAATAGGGAACATGCATCTGTCTTTCATATTTATTTGAATTACCTAATTCTTACCAATACAAGGCTTCTATCTTTGGCGTGGGACGCTTAATTTAAAGGTCGAAACACTTACTACAAAATTTTCTCGCCTGTACACCCTGCTCTCTGGGTAACCATTGTAAGCTAGTTCATACGATATCAGTTCTCCCCTGGTTTCAGCGGGAGACGCAGATATAAGTCATTCAGCTGTCAAACGTTCGTAAATATTTGATGAACTATGGATGAACTGAATATGATTCTATATAAATAAGTTTCGAGTGTTAGATTTCGATTCAATAAACTACGGTATGTTTTATGAGATTTTATTTTGAGAAAATGTAATTAAACATTCATAAAACTTAATCCCTCCACGTTGTGAAACATTTGATGGTTGTCGATAAAACTTCTGAAATAGAACTCAGGTTTTAAACTGATCTCAGCTTTTTCGATACACAGTTGTGGCTTGAGAAGTTCTGTTTACCCAATGAAGTAACACAAATAAAACTGACAAGGTAGTATAGCGAAGAATTACCAGTAATTACTTTAACACCAACTAATTAGACGCCGTGAAAATTAGAAGCTATGAAAACCTTTGTAGTAATTAAAGTATCAGAAGACAATTTGTTTGAAAAAAAAACTATGTTCCATATTATCAAATTGTGAAGATTTCAGAAAAGATATCTAATTATCAATTTATAGTTTTGTTATTTATTTTAATCAGTGAGGATAATGCATAAAAATAATAAGATACTAAGGGTATTTAACCATGTGTATAGTTTCAACTGCCACTTATGTAGCAGTAAAAATATACAATCATTTCCCGTGATAAATAAAACGCCAGGTTTTGGACATTATTGAAAGCTGCTTTTTCAACAAAAATGGAGTTCGTAAATTTAATTACCTTAGCACTGGTCAAAAGCAAAAGTATTTGTTTAAATACTCTATACAAGTACTCTTAAATCGGTATCAAAGAGAAGATGTTTGAGTTTCTGATTGACAGTATCTATGTGGTCTTTGGAGACCAGGTCTTCCAACAATTTATTGGAATTTCCCATGGGTAGCAATGCACTCCATTATTAGCAGACCTAGGAATCTCATTGGCAATTTGATGACCATTTATTCCTGAAACATAAAGGCAGCAAACGTGAAATTCGACACTTCTGATATTTCTAATGGATCATCTAGTTTATATGATGATATTACAAGGGTATTTTACAAAAACTTTCAGAATGAAATGAAATATAAATCACAAAATCAAAAATTATTTGGATTCGAAGTAAGAAATTTTCAAAATCTTTGGTTCTTTGGTCTAAATCTTCCAAATTTTTATTTATTTGGGGTGTCCGTTTATTGTTTACTTGCAAGAAGTAATAGATATGAATTATTAATCTGAGAAAAGGAAATTGAACAATTTTGTCAATCACACTGGCAAAAATATTTTCGTTTCATTTTAAGCAAATTAAATTTAAATGGATGTTATCCCACTATCACCTGCATCACCTGCATATGGTCTTTACATTTCCTAACTTATTCGATGCTAAAGAGCATGCTCAGAGTGTGATAGATTTTTAAGCAGGTACTGACAGATAAGTTGATGTTACAGGGATTTCAACAACCTCGTTTAAAGTCATCATTTGTTTATACTTTATTTGTATCATTCCAATTGTTTACCTTTTGTTTCATTCTGTATTCGACTACTGATTACTAGTATTTCATTAACCTGATCAAAACGTGGGCTCATGACGGGTGTGACCAGCTGAATGGGGATTGCTGAATCATCTGTAGCACCTGATCTCATCTTCTGAATTTCCAGGGTTTTATGACCTCTTCACAAATGTGCAATTTTTTAAAAAGATTTTTATAGATCGATTAATCAACTGTTCACCTATGAAAATGACTTCTCAACGTTATCGTACTTTATATGAGGCATTCAAAACAGGAATCATTTCCTTTTGTTGAAGATCAAATTTCACGCATAAAACCAAGACTGTGTTTCATAAACTTTTCTTTGCTTCTTTGTTTTAACATTCTTAGGTTCATGACAAAAGGTGCAATATATAATTAAGAACATTTCTTCAAGTAACACGGAAAAGTTAGATTACTAAAAATATACATGAGTATATTGCTAATTATTTTTTTCATTAATATTATATTCTATTCTCGTAAGGGCGCCAACCTCTAGGACTTCTAGTATTTCATTCATTTCGGGTGTTTTTGTTTTGCTGTATACTTTGAATGCCAGTCTTGTCACAAACCTGCAGATGTTTCTGGCGTTGCTTTATATTAGATCTCTTGTAGGTGTAAAACTAACTCGGTATGGCCCTCAGATGAAATCGATACGGAGAGGAGAGGATATTCTCGACGTCTATAATAACGGATAATCTGAAATGGAACGAAAGGAATCCTAAATTGACATAGCCAATGAATGTTTTATAAGTTCAAATTGATTTTCTCAGTTGGATTGTTCCGAAATTTATCGTAGGAAAATTAATTTGAGGTGGGAATGGCCTTTATAACTTGTCCAGGAAATGTCGAGATAAGAGTAAATTTTGTCGCCCGGAAAGCACAGCGTCTATCTATCTGTCTGTACTTAACACTTTAGAATTTTAAAAATGTCAGAGATCGATTTTATGTTTAACTCAAGTACATGTATTGATCTGCAATTTTTCTTTTGTAAAACAACAGAGTAAATTATTTCTTAATCTTGGTCTCTTACCTCCAAATAAAAACTAAAATAAAGCATCAAATGCTCAATTATAAGACAGTGACTTAATGATCTGAGATATTTTTGGAGACCAAGTCTTCCAACAATTCATATCATTACTAAGGGTACCAGTTGTGGTCCTTTTTGTATTCTTTGAAACAGAATGTGTTCAAAATTTTTTTATAAAAAGAAGAAAACACTTGCTGTGGACTTCAACTCGACATTTAGATATATCGTATAATATATTTTTTATACAATATAATGTATTATTATATGATTAAATAATTTCCATCTTTCTGATTGGCTGAGATCCAATTATGTTAGAAAAATACTACGTTGTATTGACCTACACGTGACGTTCCAGGTGAATACAAGGATTTATTTCCTCTACATTGATCTAAAAATAGATCGGGAAATTCCAAATTGATACAAATTGTTTTGGAAAGCTATTTAAAC